CCTACCTATCTACTGTATTTCTCTCTCTCTATTTTTCTCTCTCTATCCCTCTATCTACCTACCCATCTACACTCTCTCTCATTACCTACCTATCTACTGTATTTCTCTCTCTCTATTTTTCTCTCTCTATCCCTCTATCTACCTACCCATCTACACTCTCTCTCATTACCTACCTATCTACTGTATTTCTCTCTCTCTCTTTATCCCTTTATCTACCTACTTACCTGACTTCTCTCTCTCTCTCTCTCTCCCTACCTATCTACTATATTTCTCTCTCTTTCTCTCCCTCTCTCTCCCTCTATCTACCTACCTACTTTTTTTTTAAAAAAAGCCTCTTCAAAACCTGGGTGTGTCTTATACTCCAGTGCGTCTTATACTCTGAAAAATACAGTATATTCCACTTCACAGTGCTTTACGGCCCTCTCTAAGCAGTTTACAGTCTCTGACCACCCCAACAATCTGGGTCCTCCTTTGACCCACCTTGGAAGGATGGGGGGATGGGAGGCCAACCTTGAGCCGGTCAGAATCGAACCGCTGGCAGTGGGAATGCAGAGTTTCTCTTGCCATCCTGCTCTCTGACCACAGAGCCACCAGGCCTCAGCAGCTCCCTCCTTCTCAAGGGGCATCTTGCCCACCTCAGGGACTCAGGCGGGCGGGTGGGGGGGGTTAGACCCTCAGGACAGCCTGGCTCACCCATCTTCCCTCAAAACACGCACACACACAAACACACACACCCTACGTACCTGGTCCACCTGATACTCCCGGCTGTACAACTCGTGGCAGTTGTTGAAGATGTACTCATAGGTGGAGTTGAGGCAGGCCCTGACGCAGCCCTTGACCACCTGGCTGGCACGAGGGGGGCTCTGCAGCTCCTGGACCTGGGCAGACGGGTGGGGGAGCCGGGGGTGAGGAGAGCCCCTTTCGGGGGGGGGGGGCTGGGTTCCCATCTCCATCCTCACCTCTCTTCTCCGGGCAGCCCTGCTGCTCAGGATATCCCAGGACGTCCCAGGCGGTCTTTCCCAGAAGGCCTTGGGCCCCCATGGGGAGTCTGATGCAAAGCCCAGGCCAGGAGTCCCTCCCAGGGGGCTGCCCCAAGGCTCTGGTCCAGAAGGGGCCTGCAGGGGGGCCCTCTCCCACTCCCAAACTCCTGCCGCCCGGAGGGAGGGGCTGTTTCTAGGCAGCTCAAAGCTCCTGGAGGCCCATTATCACATCACAAAAAAGCCTTCCCCAACCAGGAGGAGACCCCGCTCCTAATGGGTCATAATGCCATAGAGTCCTGGGACCTGGAGGTCTTCTAGCACAAGCCCCCCCCCCCCCGAGGGCCCCAGGGCACGGGGCGCCATCTCCATGGGCAGGTGGAAGGACCTGGCCAGCCAGGGAGCCTCTTTGGACCGAGCCCCCCAGGGAGAACTTTCCAGTCCTTCTGGGGGGTGGGGGACCTTCAGCAAGCGGATGGGGACCAAGCGGGATGCCTTAAATAGGCCTACGAAGCTGACTTGACAGCTTGGAGTGGGGGGGGGGAATGTTCCAGGCGCAAAGAAGGTTCCCTGCCCCTTCCTGCCAGGGGGGAGACGGAGGACAGTTTGTGGCTTGTCAGAAATGGTTTCACAGGCCTCCCATTAATTGAAGAGAGACAGACACAAATTTCACAGGCCGTCAGCCTCCTCCGCTGGGGACAGGCAGCGTTCTCCCCCTCCCCCATGTAAGGCCAGGGGGCCTCGTTCCGGCTCCCCTCCTGCCGCCTCCCGAGAGTTTGCCTAATTGGCAGGCCAGGGCGGGGCGCAC